CTTTAAGATGAGTGGAATTCTGGGAGTTGAAGTCCACTCATCTTAAAGTGGCCAAGTTTGGACAACACTGCCCTAAGGGGATTTCTAAGGAAGAAGTGGCATCTTGGATGCTACACGCACCTTTGCACTGTAAAGATGATCAGCATCTGCTGGGTCCAGCACAGCGGTGTTCTTATCCAGGGGGTCGACTTCTCTTTGCATGACATAGAAATTGCAGTAGTTTCCCAGCTGAAATGGTCTTGGCATAGGAAAAGCATCCACCCAAGTAAACTGAGCATCAAAGAAGTCACTTGGGATATACAAGTTCTGGTATCGTCGCCTCAATTCCATCATATCACAACTAAGGCTTTAAATGATAAGAATATATATTTTACAAATGTAAAGATGTCCGACCATATAAAAGTTCAATCTCACCAAATGCAGAGCTGACCATAAACAGTTTGTTTATTTTGGCTTATCAGTTTGGATTTGCAGAAAAACATAATTTTTAAGGCATTTTGACAGACCATACCCCGAACAGCAGGCTCTTATTATTATTTTTATAGTCCTCATCAGCAGGGTCTTGAGCCAAGTTGGCTAGAATTCTAGGGGCTGTAAATAGAACAAATCTGGAGAACTGCAGGCCTGGAAAGGATGCTTTTTAGCTTAAAATGAATAAAAATTAAGACAGGTATTTATTTCTTAGCCTCGCCTATTACATACTTCAGGTTCTTTCCAAAAGTAGAAGTAAATGTGATATGCATTAACCAAGCAACATACCAATCTAATGAGAACTTGGAAAACTGCACTGTATAGCGGGGAACAACACGCCGGGGCCTTCGAGGTGATCTTTCTCTCTCTCTTCGAGGTGATCTCTCTCGAGAACGTTTTCTCTGGGGCGATCTTTCTCGTGATCTGCGCCTCTCACGCTCTCTCTCACGACTTAAACATATATGAAATAGAAATTTTTCATTTTAGTATCTGTGGCATTATGAATACACCAATGACAAAGTCTATAATCCTAAAGCCAGCAGCAGGAATTGCCAATAAATTAAAATAACATTTATTTATAGGACATTCCTATACCTTTCCTTCTATAAAAAATATTGCTTTTATCTCAACTTCAAATAATTATGCATGAAAGAAAATTAATTGGAATTGTATATCATACCTTCTGTCATCTTTTCTGTTAGCCATGGGGTCTCCTCTGTCATTCCGGCCTGAAAATCTGGGCGGCGGATCTAATCTTCGAGCTGGCTGAGGCTGTGAAACTATTCGAACAGGAGGCTGTAGCAAACCAGCTGGGGTGAGGGGAGAAATACCACAAGTTTTAAAAAACTTTTTCATAACATTGCATTAATTATAAAACAAATCTGTTCGATTAGCGGAATAGGTTTTCCATAAAGTATTTCTATAAACTCTGCTGATTTATTTAGAGTAAAGACATTGATTATAATGAAACGCAACAGAAAAAGCCTCATATTTAGCTCAACAGAGCATGGCCATTTAATTTAGGACTGTAGCTGAGGCTATATCCTATACTAGGATCACACTCCTGAAAGTGGGTACAATTAGAACTAATCAAATCAACTAAACACTAATTAATATTCAATAAGAGATCACCCCTCTTTTTCTCCAGGTTTTTACTCATTTTAATTTTAATTAAATGTAAAGTACACAGTAAATTCCACAAACAGAAAGCATGTAAACCTATGAAATACCTAGATTCCTGTTTAGTATGCTTAAGTAGCTTTCCTACATGCATGGTTATGACATATAAATATGAAACAGCCCTTTCACACATCTTTCTGAACAAAGAGGAAAGAGACTCAGATGTAAACAGTTTGTTGATCACTGGCTTTCTACAATGGGAACTCAGGATTTGCAAACAAATTCATTGGGAAAAGGGGACTGGGAAACCTAGTCCACTTTCCCTCCAAACTGCAATCATATTTTGGCCTGCTGAATAACACAGTAGACCAGAGTGCCTCTCAATGGTTGCTTTAACTTTCCAGAGACAGGCAACAGAAAGGAAGATTAGCGGCAACTAAGTACAGGAATGTCTGACAAGGGCAAGGATTAAGGGAGGCAAGTTAAAAAATGAAAAACAAGACATAAGATGTAGCAGGAAAGGGAAGCTTAGAATGAAGTACGTTGAGGCAGCATCAGAAGGCCAATGCCAGGCAAGACGTTTTTATGCCAGGCATTTTAGGAGAGTACCAAGAAAGGTGGGTGGGTGGGTAGGCACATCATGGGCAACTCCTTGAGTTGCCCATGAACTCTTTTTCATCTCCCCTCCACTGGCTGCTTCAAAGCCAGATGAGACAGTGCCTTTCATGGACCTGTACATGTCTCATAAATTGTGTATACCTAATTTAGACTATACAAGGAAAGAAACACTGACATTTTACTTTCCAGACTACTATATACAGTTATTCTACACTGTTACAAAAACTGAAAATATTAAACCCCCATAACTCAGAAAATATTAACCTGTTGGAAGACACTGCCTCTTCCATTCAATTTCCAATAACATATGATAAAAATTGATGTCAATTTCAACAATGAACAGAACAACAGTGTGCAAGTAGATTTGCCATAGTGAAGGGCATGCTTCCTGGTTAACATTTTTCAATATTTGAAAAGAAAGCACAAATGTAAGTTGGGATTAATTGTTAGGTATCTAAACAAGCAACTCACTTTCAGATGTTCCAGATAAACACAAGGAAACTCACAAGGAAAAAAAGAGGGACAGTTTTGTTCCATGACTGAAATCTCTTCCTGAAACTATCCATAATGTGTTATTTCTAAAGCTATCAATACAGCTGTCCCATTAAGCCCCATGAGGCAATTCTCTATATTTCAACGTACAGTGGTACCTCTAGTTACGAACTTAATCCGTTCCGTGACTCTGGTTGCAAG